AGTCCCACTTTATTTTAATCTAAGCCCGTCTTATTTTAATTCATGTCCATTTGTTTTAGTCCAAGTCCTACTTTATTTTAATCCAAGCCCATCTTGTTTTAATTCAAGCCCATTTTATTTTAATCCAAGCCCATCTAGTTTTTAATCCAAGTCCCATAGTTTTAATCCAAGTTCATTTATCTTAGTCCAATCTCATTTTATCTTAATCCAAGCCCATCCACACATACATCTTTCAACCCACATGATTGTCATCAAACCAAACCCATTCACACATGCATAAAGATACATTACATATGGATCTCATAAGGGTATATCAACTTGCTAACCATCCATCATCATACTAGTGCATCACAACACAAAATCCACTATGAAATGCACATCAAACAGACCATATGAGATCCATCACAGACACCAAAACATACATCATCACAAGACCATCATAATAACATATTACATGACTCAAAACAAAAACCCATAACTCAAACATGTAAAAGAGAACTTAAAGCATAAATAAAACTAAAATGAAACCAAAAGAAACCTACTTACAATGATGTGTGTTTGGTTAAGATTTCTTAGCTTTTTTCTTCTTTTTCTCCTTTATTTCTTCCTTTTCTTTTTCTCCTCTATTTCCCTCAAAATCATGTTTTTCTCTCCTCTCTTTGAAGGGTACGATTTTGGCTAAAAAGAATGACAAAGTTTCATCTTTTCATCCAATTTTGATACCACACTTTTTCTTTTTATTTCTTTTATGTTTAATATGCCAAGTGTCCAAATTTTATAATGAAAAGAAGTCAGTTGATGGAGACAAAAAGAGAGACAAGTTTGAGTGTTTAACTTTTCAAAAATTGAGTGGGAAAGTACAAATAGAAGTATGGTGAAAGATTTTATGTCACATCATTAACTAAAGAGAGAACCTAAAAGGTAACTAAACTAACCAACTTCCTTACCTTATTTGGTTCCTAAAATTCGACCATGACTCTTAAGTGGGACATATTTTTCACTTGCATGATCATTTTAAATATACATTACGAAAAAATAAATAATGTTTAATTAAATTTCAAAAAAAAGTATTCCTATGAACAATTCTACAAACCTTAAATATTTTCACACTACAAATATAAAAGAAATGGCACATAATTTATGCTCACATAATCATGGATATTTCAAGAGATATTTGATCTCGGGAATTAAATTTCGGTATGCTAAAATTAAATTTTTTTAATTTTTTAATTTTTTTAATTTTTTTTACCTAAGCATCTTAAACTCACCAAACACAAACATGACACAAAAATCATAATTGCAAATTAGTAGATGTAGAGAAAATTATTTTCATACGTATAGCTACGTTAAGTAAGTTCACGGGAGTTACGGTTATAGTACTTCGGATAAAAAAGTTCTTTGTTATCTTCTCGAGGTCGAAAATGATCTTTTTAGACATCAAGTGAATGAACTACCATTAAACTAGTCAATGGATGAGGCTTATCCATATAGAAACATTATAGTATTTTTCTATATATGTTAACCGATAAATAAAAATTCCATTATCTAAGTGTTCGACTTGCAAGCCGAGATAAAATTTTTTTTTTCCAAGGTCTTTCATGTTAAATTGTATTTTAAAATAACCTATGGCACTTAGAATTTGTCTAGGAGTTTCAATTATATTTAAATCATTAACATATATAATAATTATTACAATTCTCTTTTCGAATTTTTTATAAAGACATATGGACAAATAGAATCATTTTTATAACATTCTTTCAATAAATACTTACTAAGACGATTATACCACATCCATTCAGATTATTTTCAATCCATACAGGGATCTTTATAATTTAATTGAATATATCTCTCGGGAATGCATTTTACATACTTTCGGCATTTTAAGTCCTTTTGGGATTTTCATATAGTTATTATTATTATCAAGTGAACCATATAAATAGAGTGTGATCACATCCATTAAATACATATGAAGTTTTTCATGTGTTATCAAGCTAATAAGATAACAAAATGTAATTATATTTATTCTAAGAAAATATGTCTCATTATAATCAATGCCGAGTCTTTATGAAAACCCTTATGCTACAACTCTTGTTTTGTATCTCATAATTTCATCTTTTTCATTTTATTTTCATATAAATACCTATATGTATCCTAATGGCTTAACATCTTTAGGTGTTTGGACTATGAATCCAAAAAATATTTGTTTCATGAGAGAATTTAATTTTGTATTGATTGTATCTTTCCATTTAGGTCAATCATCTTTATGTCGACCTTCTTTAATAGATTTAGGGTCGAAGCCTTATTCAAAATATCAATTACAACGTTATATGTAAAAATGTTATCAACAAATGTTTATTTTCAATCCAATTTTCTCCCCGTATTAACATAATTTATAGAAGTTTCTTGATTTTACTCAAGCATTTGGGCTTTTTCTACAAGCTTGTTATCAAAAGCATCTTGAACCGTTTTATCTATCTCGTTTATATTTTCATCTTGATTATTTTCTCTTTTTTTCTTTTAGGGATTTTTATCCTTATAATTGATCGATCTTCCATGCTACAAGCGTTTTTTAGATTTATTTATTATAATATTAATAGATTGTGACATCAATTCTAATAAAAGCATTCTCAATGCGAACATGCAATTTAGTTACTTTTTTTAGATTAAAGAATGCATCTAGCGAGTTGGTTTGCAAAACTTTATAAATGAATTATCCTTTGAACTTCAAGTTCATAGTATTTTGTACGAGAATCAAGATGATATAAAGATGAAGTATTACATGTAATTTCTTTTTTCAATATTTTCAACTACTTATTCTGTTTATTCTCTTTCTCTATCGTTGAAAAAATTATTTCATCAAAATAACGAGTTGATAAATCAAGCCATGAAAACATCTCATGTTAATGGTTCAATATATTTAATCATAGAAGGAGATTTATATCCAAAATAAATTATCAATTTCCTCTAATGGCCTATTTTAGTTCATTGTGGAAAGTAATTGTGATATATACTATACATCTAAAAATTCTTAAATGAGAAATATTAAGCTTATGACTAGAAACCAATTAAAAGGGGGAGAATTTCTAATAACTTATGGGCTTAATGCGAATAAACTATTTTGAGTAGGTTTAATTACATAAAACATCCCTCTACTACTGAAAATTTCTTAATGTGGCCCTTCTACTTTTTTTCTTATTCATCACCTTCCTGTGCTCTTCAAGTTTTCTTAATATGGTCCCTTCGATTGTTTTCTCGACCAATTTTCCAATCAAAACCGACAACCTGGAAAAAAATAATTCATGTGTCATGACAAGTCAAATTTTTACCACATGAAAAAAAAATGATTTTATTTTTCTCCTCCCTCTTCCTTTTTCTCTCACCTCTATCTCTCCCCCTCTCTCTCTCCTCTATCTCTCTCCCTCTCTCTCTCCTCTCGTTTCGATTAAAACCCGAATAATCCTCTAAACATAACATCATCAAATTTTTCTCCTCCTTTTCTCTCTCTCTCCTAAGGTTTTATAGTTGGTATCACAATAACTTTCCTATGGATGCCATAAAACCATAAAAAAAAATAAAAATCTAGGAATTGCAATCCTAAGCGATGTCATTAGAAAGTTCAATAAAGTCTCAAATCAAATCGACTTTTCAACAAGCAACTAATCCAAAGCAACATGAATCCAACTTCATGAGCAAGGAATTCTTTGAAAAGACAAATTGGGCTAGCAATTACAAGCTTGGTTAGATTCCCTCGTAAATTTAAAAATCATGAAAGCTTTGATTAACTTTATGGTTCCTTCCTTTTCTTATTAGACTTTTTGCTTGCTTTGGTTTTCTCTATTAGATCCAAATTGACACCGACTTCTTGCCTAATATACCCACAAGCACATTGGTTTCATGGGCATTTAGACATCATTATCAAGAATTCACCAAAGTAACTTGAAAATTTTGAGTTCATTAAAGTTCCTATCATTTTTCAACCCCGAACTTATTAAAAAAAAATAGTACCATAATCACTACTCTAATTAATTTTAGACTATTCATGTCAATATGATCAACGACCTTATTTGGAGTTACTTCTTTCATCTAGCACACAAAATCAATTTTAATTGATCTATAACACATGCCTCCAAATGCAAATATTTTTTTAAAAAAAACATTAAGAATGGTTATAAATGCAACAAATTGATAAGACCCTAACACATCAATAGCATTCCAAAACTTTGGTAAATTAGCCGAATCCAAAAGAAATCATGTAAGCCTAAAGTCACGAGTCTTACACCTACCGTCACTTCCCTACCCCTAACATATCATAAAGTCTAATATTTAGCACCTCCCCAAAGCTACGTTCACATTTCACCCCCTTATGTTTTCTTAATTAGCTCTTAGTATATTCTTTGACGGATCTATGGCAAGCTATTATGGCATATCTTTTAGAGGTCTTACCATCTCAAGATTACAAGCATGAAGATTAAGAATGGTTTAAAGGCTAAATTAAATAGTTAGGTGATATCCTCGAGCCAACTTATGCCCAAGAAAATTATACAAACAACTAAAAAATAACAAAATTAAATAGATAAAAAGTACCCAAAATCGATGAGAGAGGGATTCACGAGAATCGAGAGAAAAAGGACCTCTTCTTTTACTAGCATTAGAATTAAAATCCAAGAAGTTAGGATCATTAGCTGAAGTAGCATGTGAAGATAACCTCAAAGTAAGAGCAAGCTGAAATTGATAACTCTCTTCCATTTGCTTAGTCCAATCTCTTAATCGTCGCTTCTTCATACCAATTGTTAAAATCCTTCATTAATTTCAATTAAAATAAACTCTTGATTCTCAATTACAAAATGAATTTAATTCTACTTGAACATGAAATTATAGTATTTAAAATACAACATCAAAGAAGAAATAATGAATTGCTAGAAAGGGAAATGATTTTCCGGCATTGATTTTTAACTTAGCTTGGAACAAAAAGAAATCGAGTAAGCGAAAAGGAAGAAGGAATGGAAGGGAAGTGTGGAAAGGAAAGGAGAGGGATTTTTTCTTCTTTTATTCGATGGGCATTAAATGGGGTCCAGTTTGAATACTCTTTTTTATTTTTTTAGATTTTCCATGCAAACATTTTAGGCCATGTGGAAAATTTTATTTGATGTGCCATGCCACGTGCTAACTTTTTACCATCCGTCATCGCCCATCGAAGAATCACCATATTTCAGTAAGAGGGGCCACATTAAGAAAATTTCAATAGTAGAGGGACGTTTTCGCTATTAAACTATTCCGAGTATGAACATAAGCAGCAAGTTGTTCAATCTTTATTTCATTAGACATGAAATAATCATTACATATTTGAGAGATAAATTCATCGGTATTGTCTAGATGAATTATTTTAATTGTATAATCTAAAAATTATACTCATAATTAAATTATCCGAGCAAACAATCTTAAAAATGTCGAGTTTCAAGTTGATAACAAGCATACATGTGACCATCCCGTGGAAGCATCTATTAAAACCATAAAATATCGAAATGGTACACAAGGTGGATGAATTGATCCACATATATCACCTTGAATATGTTCTAAAAATGTTGGAGAGTCAATCCTAATTTTTTTTAGTGATGACTTAATAATAAGTTAGCCTTGAGAATATGCAAGATATAAAAATTCATTAGATTGAAGAATCTTCTAGTTCTTTAACGGATGTCTATATGAATTGTTAATAATGAATTTAAGATGGTCCAATCGGTTATGCCATAAAATAAAAGAATTACTAAACTTTTGATTTACTATAATATTTGTTTCAATTATTTGAATATTTATGTAATAAATGTCGAAGAGAAAGCCAAGTAATTTCTTCAATATATATTTTCTACCCAATATAATTTTTGTAATAAATAAGTATTCAATATTTTCAATATTTGTTGCCCCGGTATGATATCCATTTAGAAGAATATCTTTGAAACTCGATAAATTTCTATGAGACTTAGGAGATAATAATACATCATTTATAATCAAATTTCTCCTTTCGGATAATAATATATTTGCCATTTTAAAGCCTTCAATTAAATTGACACTACCGGATATAGTGTTAACATTAGCCTTGCACATCATTAATTTCGAGAAATATCTTTTATTTTTATGTATAGTGCGTATCGCTACACTATCTACAAGCTATAGATTCTTCTATACAATATTCAAACCAATTGTGAACTTGGTAGTATTCATATATTCTTCACAAAACAAATAAAATAAATAAATAAATAACTAAAAAAATTATAACTATCATGATGTAAAAGAAATTATAAAAAATATAAAGCTTTTTTATTTATCAATAGAAAAGCTAACAAGATATTAATTTCAATGATTATCATTAATCTAATGACCATTTCTTTCGGAATCTTCAAAAAAATCAGCAACATCTAAATGTGTCAAAATTATTGAAACCATAAAAAAAAATATCATCACAATCATTATTTTGATATATCTACATTACTTTTTTTCTTTTTCAACGAGATGCTTCGGTATTTTATAGGTACACGACCAGCGTCCCTTTATATCACATCCGTATCATTCATTTTTGAAATATTTGCTTGATCCTTTTTTATTCTTGGTTTTCATAGTTTATCCACTTCGATGGCGAGGCATATTATTATGACCACCATGATTATAACAATAATTATTTCAATCACAACTATAGATATTGCCACGATTACGTCCTCGTTTATGCTTAAAATCATTGTAAGATGTCACATTCATTTCTAGAAATGGAATAGACCTAGTTGAGGGGCATTCTTGATTTTTCATCAATAGCTCGTTATTTTGTTCAGCCACAAGTAAACGTGAAATCAATTTAGAGTATTTCTTAAAACTTTTTTCTCGATATTGCTATTGCATGGTCATGTTTAAGGTATGAAAAGTAGAGAATATTTTTTTCTAACATATCTAAATCGGTAATCGGTAATATTTTTTTCACATAATTTTAGTTGGAAACTAATTCTAAATACTATAGAATTATACTCACTTATTGTTTTAAAATCTTGTAATCTTAAGTGAATCCAATCATAACGAACTTTTGAAAGAATCATCATCTTTTGATGGTTGTATATTTCCTTTAAATTTTTTCATAGTTCAAGTGGATCCTTTACTCGTTAAATATTTAGTTTTTAAATCCTCATGGCGATGACAATAAAGGAAGATCATTGTCTTAGCATGTGTTGCAAGGATTCTTCGATTATCATCCATGATTGTTTGTCCAAAACTATTAGCATTTAAATGTATCTTAACATCAAGCTTCCATGATAAATAATTCTTGTCCAAAATATCAAGGGCCAAAAAATCAAGCAATTTGACATAATAAAAATTTTATAATACAAGATATAATAATAATGTTAGAAAATAAGAACAAACATAATAATAAAATTAAAATTTTTCAAACAATGTACATTAGATCATTAGAATATATATTAGATCATTCAAGTGTTTCAAACATATACTATATTTACCATTTGAATTAAAGTAAAAGATAAATTAGATACATATTTCTTAATATTCTAGATGATTTAAGTCTTTTGATTGTGCAATCGTGCTAATAATGCATTAAAATAATAATAACAATAATAATAATAATAATCGTAAAAGATTGTTATGATAATGGTAAAAAGGATAGGAGAAAAGATGACAAAAAATAATTTCTCTATGAAATATAGAGAATACTAGAGATAATAACTTCAAGTAATTTTCTCAATCTCTATAATATACTTATACACAAACTAATAAACAATCAAGCCTATTTGTAGGCTTGAAAGTTAGAAAGAGAATTGAAAGGGATTATGAACAATTAAAAGTACATAAATTATTGAATCAATTGCATCACCCTTCTAATTTCTTATATTAAATAGTGAATTAAATCACATTAAGAATTATGAGTAGTGGGAATATGAAAAACATATGAACATTGATATGGATATTCATTATTTTATAATAATATAAATTTTTTCTTGTAGTTTGATAATGTCACTCAATGATCTAATTTTAGATAGACCAAAATAGTTTTGATTAATTTTTTCACAAATGATGATATTAAATGTGTATTATATTTATATCTAGAAAATATATATAATAATATAAGTCTTCCTTTTTGTAATTAGAGTATTCATATTTTACCCTTTTATGATTTTTTTATAATAAATTTTATTTTTTATTTTTGAAAAAAATATTTATACTACATTCTTTTTCCTTTTTCCTGTTTATGATTTATTTTTATGTTTCCAATATTTTTCAATAATAAAATTTTTATTTCAAAAAAAAATACCATAATTAAAATTGTAAAAACTTCAATTTTATTCATTTTTTAAATTTTAATAATTAGAAAGTAATAATCTAATAAATTTTGATTATGTCAAAATTGTTATAAAAGTAATGATAATGATAAAAAAAAAAAAAAAAGTAAGATAGAAAGGTGATAAAAAGGTAATAGTAAAATAATTGGAGAGAAATATAATAAAAATTTGAGTTGTACTTTTTCTTCACTCAACACATCCGTTTATAAGTGAATGTTACATAAAATTTTAAATTTAATAAAAAAAATACATTCATAAATGTTAATTGTGAATTGAATCTCATTAGAAAATATGATGGGAAATAAATACATTCATGTATAATAATGGTAAATTGAATCACATTAAAAATATAAATAATAATGGAAACCGAGTATAGTTATGGACTTTGATTATTGATATTTATTATTTTATAATAATCCTCTTTGAATGTCTATTATACAAAAAACATGTCCTATTAAAACCTTATTAGGAAAAAATGTAGTGTGAAAAAAATCCTAGTAAAGAAAAAAAAAGTAAAATATTCCCCGTATGCATTAATTTCTATGTTGGCTAACCATATTGGAACTATTATTTAAATCTCTAGAAGTACGCATCTCAATCTTACGAATCATTTTTTCAAAAATTATGATATGTAATGCCTTAGCTATAAATTTATCGGATTGTCACTTGATTGAATTTGTTGAATATTAATATTATCATTCCATTAAAGATCATGTGTTAAAAATAATTTTAGTGATATGTATTTTTTTGTCTTGATGTATCTTTTTTTTAATTAAGTTATACAAACAATATTATCTTCATATAATATTGTTGAAACTTCTTTACTAATGGATAAACCACATATCTCCCAAACATGATAGGTCATTAATCTTAACCATACATATTCTCAACCTCCCTCATGAATTACTAGTATTTTTGTATAGTTTAAAGATGTAGCAACTATAATTTGCTTTATAAAACATCATGATATAATTGTATCATTATATGTGAATACATAACCAATTTGTGATTGATTTTTTTGAGTATTAAATAAATAACATGTATCCGCATAACCAATTAATCCCGATTTTGATTTATTTGAGTAAAATAAGCTTATATCAATTATTTCTCGAATATAATATTGCACATGTTTAATTCTATTGTAAGATCTTCGTTTGAGAGTAGAACTATATCTTGCTATTAAATTTATAAAAATTATTATATCAAATTGAGTATTACTAGCAAAATACATTAATACATCAATTGCACTAAGGTATGGTATTTCAAGACCAAAAAGTTCTTTATTATCTTCTTGAGATCGAAAGAGTCTTTTTAAATATCAAGTGAACAAACTATTATTGGATTAGTCAATAGTGAGTCTTATCCATATAAAATTGTTTTGGAGCATTTTTCATATAAGTTGACTCGGTGAATAAAAATCACAAGCATCTAAGTGTTCGAAATATAGGTCGAGACAAAATTTTGTTTTTCAAGGTTTTTCATGTTAATTTTTTTTTTTTAAGATAATTTATGACACTTGAAATCTCTTCAAAAGTTTCAATAATATTTAAATCATCAACATATACAACAATTACTATAAACTTCTTTCGAATTTTTCTATAAAAGCTCATGAATAAATAGGATCATATTTATAATATTCTTTCAACAAATACTTATTAAAGTGATTAAACCACAGATGTTCATATTGTTTTAATCTATATAAAAAATTTATAATTTAATTGAATATATTTTTTAAAAAATATGAATAATATGTCTCGGACATTTTAAATCTTTTTAAAACTTTCATATAAATATTATTATGAAGTGAATTATATAAATAGGTTATCATCAAATCTGTTAAATACATATGGAGTTTTTCATGTGTTGTTAAATTAACGAGATAATGAAATGTAATTGTTTTAATTACAAAAAAAAATATATATATCTCCTCATACTTAATATCAAATCTTTACAAAAATTTTATTATTATTATTATTTGTATTTCTAGCATCAATGGAAAAGTCAATTTTTTTGGAACTTTGACCAACCACTCTTGGTAAGTTATGTTTTATTTCATCTGTTAACCTAACACAGGCAAATTCTACAAGGCCCTGCTGCCTATTTTAAAACGTAACATATGAATTTCAATGCTCAAGGAATATGCTAGAAAATGAGAGAAACCGGTTGTCATAATCTCAATTGCAAAAAGATGAGAACTGCTACTATTTGCTAACGAATTCTTGACACGTGAAACACGCAAAAGCAAAAGGACGGGAATAGACTGTCAGACAGAGACTCGTTCTGGAACAGCCAGCAAGAAGGACAACATAAAACCCACCGAGATTGAGGTGTAGAAAGACGCCACCTTTCCTGAAAGGAGGGTAGAGACACACCGCGTATTCATTATCAATGATTGATCCATCCACGAACTCATCGCTCACGAATCACGAGGCCAATCGCTGTCTACTATCTAGCAGCCTCATCCACTATCCATCCGGTGGTCAAATCCGTCGGCAATGTAATGTAACGGGCTCCCAAATGGGTCAAATTCAAATGGACAACAAAACCAATCCAGAGAATAAAAGAGGTGCCCATTTCATTGTTCTTTCATTATGCTTCCAATTCTGTCCTTTTGGAATTTTGCTACAAGACTTTGCAATTTATGCCAAGCACTCTTATGATCTTAATCCTGTTTCGGTCGTATGTCTTGAACTCGTAGGACATCCTGTGACTTACACTGCGATATACCTAAGCATAGCAGTAGGCCGGATGTAAAATGAGTACCTTATTCGACCCATTCATTAATTATTCTTTTAAAATATCATAATGAATAATAGACTAAATATAAGTAAAATATTATTATCTATTTATATTAATAGATAATTTATTTATAAATATGAATATCTTTTTTTATATCCTATTAATATGTATCTTCTACCCATTAACATAAAAAAAAATATTAAAACACAAAATTTTAAAATAAACAAAAAAAGAGAGAAAAATATATGTTTCTTTGTTTTTGGTTGTCAAAATTTCTCAAAAACCATTTTTAATAGCTACTAGTTGTCGGTTTTGATTTTTTTGGACAAAAATCTGAAACAAACAAATTTTCTAAGTTTTTGTTTTTAAGAACTTGAAAACCAAAAAAAAAAAAAAAAAAAAACCATGTAAACATAGTGAAGCAAAATTTACATGGAAGAACAAATTTTCTCTTTTTTTTTTTTTTTTTTGTATATTTTAAAGCATCAATCTACCAAAGAAAAACTCTCTGTTTGTACATGGAGGAACAACAAAAATTACCAAAGAGTAGTTCATGATCAAGACTTCATTCAGAAATGCAACCACTCAAACAAAAAGGTAATTCAAGAAGTGTTGCTTTTATAGAAAAGAGAGGTTGATAAAATGCCACATAATAGATTCAACAACATGCACAATGTTTACATGGCTTGGCTTAATTATTTGATGGTCGGTTTGGTGAGCCGGCAATACTTAGAAGTAAACGAAATAATATTACCTATATATATATATACATAACCAATTGTCTTCCTTATACTTCATTTTAAACTAGTTTGTAGGAAATAAAAAAATATAATAATCATTCAACTTAGTGCATATTTATTTATGATAATAAAAATAATAATTGTTATTTTGTAATCTAATAAAAATCTTAATATATAAAAAAAGTCTAGACAAAAAGAGTTTGTAACAAAAAAATTAATTAAAAAAAATTGAAAAAAATCTTTAATTTAAAGAAAAAAATTAGCATGTAAATGAGTATGGGCAGAATGTGATGCAATGAGTATGGGCTGGATAAAGAAATGAGCTAATGATTTTTAGTGGGCAATGAGTATAGTATATATATATATATATATATATATATTTTGTAAGTAGGGTAAAAGATTGGCTTAATGAGCCGAGTACTCCACCTAGCGCCATCCTTAGATATACCCATGAATCAAATAGCCCAAATGGGCTGGAGTCTAGCCCATTTAGCTACTAAAACTTGGATTAAAAGAAGCCCATATCATTTAAGGGAGACATGTAAATACCAGGGGTCTGCAGATTAGCAAGGACAAATACCATGGTTGTAGACAGTAGTTGAGGGAATACAACGAAGAAGAAAGAGGAAGAATTGAAGGAAAAGGACAATCAACAGCAGACAAAAAATAGCACAACTTTTTGGTGTTCTTCCTTTGACATTTGTTTTGTTACAACTAACGGTTACATTGATAATTTTAAATATGAATCGATAAAAATATGCCTTTTAAGTCCATGGAAAGTACCACTTTTTTCTTTTCCTTTTTTAAAAAATCACGTGAGTTTTTATTGACATATAAGATTTCTAGAAAATCTAAAAATAATATTGGTTTCAGGATAATGAACTAGTTATGTTTATGAACAGATAAAAACTACCCCAAAACATTAGTTTTAAAAAACAATTTCCCAAAATTACGTCTATTCATATATAAGTCAATTTTTAGAAATTTTAATTTATCAAATTATTTTCTAAAACTTGTTTTTTGAGTTTATTACTGAGTCGATTGACAGGAATTTAAAATTAATTTGGGAAGTTAATTCTTTATATTTTTTACAGGAGTCATTTTGAACATATTAAATGATTTATATTATTTTTTAAAAAAGTTTCTCAAACTTACGTCTACTCATAAGTCATGTTATTAGAAATCATGATTTACCAAATTATTTTCTAGAACTTATCCTTTGAGATTATTACTTAGTAAGATTGACATGAATTTAAAATTAATTTGAAAAGTTAATTATTTACAGTTTTTTAACAAGAGTCATAATGGACATATTAAATAATTTATTAAAAATACCAATTTTAAGTCCATGGAAAGTACCACTTTTTTCTTTTTCTTATAAAAAAAATCACCTAAGTTGTTGTTGACATATAGGATTTCTAGAAAATCTAAAAATAATATTAGTTTCATAGCATAGGTAATGAATCGGCTATGTTTATGAAAAGATAAAAATTATCCAAAAACATTATTTTTTTAAAAAGTTTCCCAAACTTACGTCTACTCATAAGCCATTTCTTAGAAATCATGATTTACCAAATTATTTTCTAAAACTTATTTTTTTTTTAGTTTATTAATGAGTGAGATTGACATGAATTTAAAATTATTTTGGGAAGTTAATTCTTTAAATTTTTTATAGGAGTCATTTTGGGTATATTAAATGATTTATATTATTTTTTAAAAAAAATTTCCCAAACTTATGTCTATTCATAAAGTCATTTCTTAGAAATTATGATTTACCAAATTATTTTGTAGAACTTGTTTTTTGAGTTTATTGCTTGAGTCGATCGACATGAATTTAAAATTAATTTGGGAAGTTAATTCTTTATAATTTTTACAGGGGTTATTTTGGGCATATTAAATGATTTATTAAAAATACCCCATTTAAGTCCATGGAAAATACCTCTTTTTTCTTTTTCTTTTAAAAAAATCACATGAGTTGTTATTGACACATAGGATTTCTAGAAAATCTAAAAATAATATTGGTTTCAGAGCATAGATAATGAATTGGCTATGTTTATGAAAAGATAAAAATTACTCAAAAACATTATTTTTAAAAAAAGTATACCAAACTTACGTCTATTCATAAGTCAGCTTTTAGAAATCATGATTCACCAAATTATTTTCTGAAACTTACTTTTTGAGTTTATTATTGAGTCAAATTGACATGAATTTAAAATTAATTTGGGAAGTTAATTCTTTACATTTTTTACAAAAGTCATTTTGAGCATATTAAATGATTTATATTATTTTTTAAAATTTTTTTTCCAAACTTATGTCTATTCATAGGTCATTTCTTAGAAATCATGATTTACCAAATTATTTTCTAGAACTTATTTTTTGAGTTTATTGCTGAGTCAGATTGAAATGAATTGAAAATTAATTTGGGAAGTTAATTTTTTACATTTTTTACCGGAGTCATTTTGGGCATATTAAATAATTTATTAAAAATACCCCTTTTAAGTCCATGGAAAGTGCCACTTTTTTTCTTTTTCTTTTAAAAAATCACGTGAGTTGTTATTGACATATAAGATTTCTAGAAAATCTAAAAATAATATTGGTTTTAGAGCATGGGTAATGAATTGGTTATGTTTATGGGAAGATGGAAATTACCCAAAAAAATTATTTTTTAAAAAAAGTTTCCCAAACTTACATCTATTCATAAGTCATTTTTTAGAAATTATGATTACCAAATTATTTCATAAAACTTATTTTTGAAGTTTATTGTTGAGTCGATTGACATGAATTTAAAATTAATTTGGGAAGTTAATTCTTTACATTTTTTATAGTAGTCATTTTACGCATATTAAATGATTTATATTATTTTTTAAAAAAGTTTCCCAAACTTATGTCTATTCATAAGTCATTTCTTAGAAATCATGATTTACCAAATATTTTCTAGAACTTATCTTTTGAGTTTATTGCTGAGTCAAATTGACTTGAATTTAAAATTAATTTGATAAGTTAATTCTTTACATTTTTTAAGGGATTCATTTTGGGCATATTAAATGATTTATTAAAAACACCCCTTTTAAGTCCATGGAAAGTACCACTTTTTTCTTTTCTTTTAAAAAAATCACATGAGTTGTTATTGACATATAGGATTTCTAGAAAATCTAAAAATAATATTGGTTTTAGAGCATAGGTAATGAATTGGTTATGTTTATGGAAAGATAAAAATTACACAAAAATCCTAAACTTACGCCTATTCATAAGTCATTTTTCTAGAAATCATGATTTACCAAATTATTTCCTAAAACTTATTTTTTGAGTTTATTGCGTAGTCGATTGAGATGAATTTAAAATTAATTTGGGAAGTTAATTCTTTACCTTTTTTTACATGAGTCATTTTGGACATATTAAATGATTTATATTATTTAAAAAAAAAACTTCCTAAACTTACGTCTATCCATAGGTCATTTCTTAGAAATCATGATTTACCAAATTATTTTCTAGTACTTATTTTTTGAGTTTATTGCTTGAGTCGATTGACATGAATTTAAAATTAATTTGGGAAGTTAATTCTTTACATGTTTTACAGGAGTCATGTTGGGCATATTAAATAATTTATTAAAAATACCCCTTTAAGTCCATGGAAAGTACCACCTTTTTCTTTTTCTTTTTTAAAAAAATCACTCGACTTGTTATTGATATATATGATTTCTAGAAAATCTAAAAATAATATTGGTTTTAGAGCATAGGTAATGAATTGGCTGTGTTTATGAAAAGATAAAAATTACACAAAAACATTATTTTTTTAAAAAAGGTTTCACAAACTTACGTCTATTCATAAGTCATTTTTTAGAAATCATGATTCA